CTACTAGCAAAACTATCATCAGCATAACCTAGCATAATCCAACAATTGATGCAAACAGATGCAGAGACTGGCGGCCAAACACTAGGTAGAGCTTGGGAAATCCTGCAGAAGGGGAGGAGGACAGATTGTAGGAGCCAGAGGGCTCAAAGACAGCACAAGAAAATCTACAGAATCGACTAACCTTGCCCCATAGGGGCCCACAGGTACTGAACCACCAATCAGGGAGCCTGTATAGGACTGACCTAGGCCCTCTGCACATATTTAACAGTTGTGCAGCTGGGAGTTCATGTTGGACTCCTAACAGCAAGAGCAGGGACTGTCTCTGAAGCTTCTGCATGCCTTTGGGATCCTTTCCCCCTACTGGACTGCCTCTCCTAGCCTTAGTTGGAGAAGATTAGCCTAATCTTACTGTAACTTGATATGCCAAAGAAAGTTGATATCTAAGGGAGGTCTCCTCTTTTCTGAAGAGAAAAGGAAGAGACATGGATGGGGAAAGGGAAGGTGGGGGAAAGAACTGGGAGTAGAGGAAGGAGGGGAACTGCAGTCAGGATCTAAAGTTGATTGATTGAGTGAGTGATTGATTGATTGATTGATTTTTAAATTTTTCTAGGAGACTAACCCGATCCCCTTAAGGCAAACAAAAGTTTATAAAACAAGAAGTGAAATATTTGAATTATAGCAAATTTTTTTTGTATCTGAGAGAAATACATTAGTGATGAATAATTGCTACAGATGTACATTTAAATATCTCAGTCACTTATCTATGGCTGAATTTTAAACACAGAAAAAAAGTCTAAAACTTTCTCTCAGATCAAGAATTATACTTATTAATTGTACAGCACACGGTACCTTTTATTTAAATTAAGACCTTAGATACAAGTTATTGATTTTATAAAATACAAGGTTTGAAGTATAGCTCAATAGTAAAGCACTCATCCAGCATGTCCATGGCCTTGCTTTGATTTCTAGCACCTAAAAAATGTAAATAAATATATAATCCTACATTAGCAAAGTTATGTCAAGGTCATTTATATTTAGTATGCAAATTAAGTAGATAGCATTGAGAAAAAAGTCTCACCTTGTAGAAGTTTATGTAAACATGGGACATCATTGAACGTGACAGAAAAGTAATTTTCACAATCAGAAGTTGTGATGTTTCTTTCTAAAGGTAACAAAGACATGTAGAAAAAAAAATATTAAATCTGAGAGCCACAGCAAAAATCCAAACACAGATATCAGCTCATGTATAAGAAAACAAAGGCTGAGGACAAAACCAGCTCTGTTACCTACTACATTAAAATTTTATTCTAGTTTTTTTTTCTGCTTTTTCCCCAGAAAACTCACATTCTTCATTTAAGGATACAAAAGTCTACTTTTAAAAAATGTTTACACTATAACATCCACATAAGGGTAAAATGATTAAGTATTAATGGCTTGTTTGGACAGGACCCACTGTTTACTTTTTAAAGCAGGAAGGGTTGTTTAACACAGAACAACCATTTCAAAGAGGAATCAAGACACAGTCATAGATCTAGAGTACTTAACTGAACACTTAAATGGCTTTTTATCATGGGGAAAAGAGAGCAATTGATTTTTGTTTTTATATTTGTTTTATTTTATGTGTATGAGTTGTTTTTTTTTTTTTTTCTGTTTTACGTACCTGCATGTAGATACTACACATGCATTTAGTACCCATATAGGCCAAAAGAGGTTACAGATGGTTGCAAGCTGCCATAGAAGTTTCAGAAATTGAATCCAAATCTTCTGGAAAAGTAGCTGTGTTCTTAATAGCTAAGCCATCTCTCCAGCCCCAACAATTGAATTTATATGCAAAATTTTTGCTTTGAAAAATGAACTACCAGAAAGTGTACTTAACTTGAGTCTACTTAGTGAAATGTCAATCTCATTTCAAAAATTTGCATATAAATTACTGGTCAGCTTTCTATTGTTATGATTAAATATTTGACACAATAAACTTAGAAAAATTATTTATCTCAGACTTCCTGAGATTTCAGTCCACAGTCAGTTGTCTCCATTGCCTTTGTGCCTGCAGTGAGGCACTGCATGGAAGAGAAAAGATATGGTGGAGCAAAATGGTGGCCAGGAAACAAAGGGGGAGGGCTGAGGCCCCAATATCCCCTTTAAAATCATGCTCCCTAGCAATCTTTCTCCCACTATTATCACCACATGAAGATTCCATCACCGCCTAATAGTGTCACAAGCTGAAGGCCAAGCAACCATAAAACAGCAATGGTTTGCCATTAGTGTAAGTAGTTCAGAACAAAAGAAGCAGATGCTGAGACTTATGGCCAACTGTTGGGCAGTGTGCATGGAATCTTATGTAACAAGTGGGAAATAGTAAGATCTGGAGAGGACAGGAACTCCACAAGGAGAGCAACAGAACCAGAAATATGAACACAGGGGTCTTCCCAGAGACTCATACTCCAACCAAGTACCATACATGGAGATAACCTAGAACCCCTGCACAGATGTAGCCCATGGCAGTTTAGTGTCGGTTCCATAGCAATGAGAAGATGAACTGTCTCTGACATGAACTGTTTGGCCTGCTCTTTGATCACCTCCCCCTGAGCGGGGAGCAGCCTTATCAGGCCACAGAAGATGACAATGATGAGATCTGATAGACTAAGATCAGAAGGAAGGAGAGGAGGACCTTGCCTATCAGTGGACTTGGGGAGGGGCATTCGTGAAGAAGGGGGAGGGAGGGTGTGCTCTGGAGGGGAGGAGGGAGGGGCTTATGGGGGGATACAAAGTGAATAAAGTGTATATATAATTTATACAAAGTGAATAAAGTGTATATATAATTTATTTTATTAATATATATCTATGTATATATGTATATATATTATTAATATATATGTATATATACATATATATATATGTATATATGTATATATACACAAAACAAAACAAAAAAAAGTTGTGAAATAATGCAAGGGCCATAAAAAAGCAGTGTACTCTCTGGGGGTTAGTTTTATACCAATTTGGGTAGATTCTATAAGGAGCAAGATGTTTGGTTAAACATTCTAAATGCACCTGTGCAAATGTTTTGGAATGAGATTATTGCCCGACATAGGTAACTTTTTGTAGTTAATTGATTTTCCAGTGTAAATGAGAAATTATCATAAACATGTTGAGTTATAAAGAAAGGACGCTTACTGTTGGGAGTTTTTATTTGATAACTGGGTCTTGAGATGATTATAACATTGAATGGCAAGTGATAAGAATATTAAAACCACGTGTAAACTAACATTCTTCACACTAAGGAAAGCACTATGGAAGAATTTGAAAGCCTGAATGTAACAAACATTCCCAGGAAAGGGAAATCCTCCTACCTGTGTGCCTTAGAGCCAATACATCACCTTTCTGCTTTGCAATTGGAACATCAGAGTTTGAAAGCCTGCTGATTTTTCAGAGGAATGCTATATGATTACCTCTCCCAGTCTTAGGCCTGTACTTAGGTAGAATCACATAGTCTCCTGGCTCTCATGGCTCTGAAGCTTGATAGCTATACTTTTTACATAGATTGCCCACTGTATTCAAAGGAGACAATTCCTTATAAGTATTGAATGTATTTGTAGATATATGTATGTCACTGCATACACATCTAACAATTCTATTTTCCCATGAAATCTTGATTAATCCTTAGTTTGCTATAAAGAGTCTCCTCTGTAGTTCATGACTTACTGCAGTCTGGCAGAGAAATGCACTAGGAGCAAGTGGGTCCCAGGTCAGTAAATGCCAAGTAAAAGAAAATGAGTTAAAAATCATATAAGATAATTCATTATAACAAATAGATAGAGGGGGTTGGAGAGATGGCTTAGCAGTTAAGAGCACTGTTTGCTCTTCCAGATGTCAATTTCCAGCAACCACATGGTGGCTCAACAACTGGGATCTGATGCTCTCTTCTGGCAAAAAGGGGTCCATGCAGATAGAGCACTCATGTATATTAAATAAATAAATCTTAAACAAAACAAAAAAAAATTCCAGATGCAGATGTCCTATTGGCTGTTTGTTTTGAGAATCCTACTCTAATATCTATAATAACAAAATATACTTAGCTTATGCTCCAACACATAGTTTTCTACTCATGCACAGTCTTTTTTCCACTGCAGTTATTATGTATGAAGTAATGTGATGTTACGAATGTTTTACACTATGCAAGTAAAACTAAATACGCAGTGTTATAAGAGTAAGATTTTATGGTGTTTGAGAGGGCTTTTCATTCATGAATAAGATTAGAACTCTTGAGGGAAGAGGATAAAAAGATTTAAGAGGACCTTTTTACCCTTTCCCCTATGACAAAAAAGTGCTGTCTTCAAAGCAGAGAGCCCCCACCAGATAAAAAAAATCTGCAGGCATACTAATTTTGGACATCCAGATCTCAAAAAAGTAAGCAATTTCTGTTGCTTACAAATTATCTTGCTAAAGTATTTTGTCATAGAAACCAGAACAGAATAATCTTTTTGCCAAGGCAATAATATCTTGCTTTATCAAATGTTGCCACTAGAGCACAGCTTGTGCCTAGATTACTGTAGAAGTTTTAAGTCTATCTTAAGATTTTATAACCTTGACTTTTGTAAAAACTGAAATAAATATTTTTATTAGAAAGAAATCTTTTCTTTGACACTTTATCTTTATACCTAGAGTCATAGTTAAATTCCATGTTAATGTATATTAAATCAGTACGCTTTAAGACAGAAAAGAAAGTCTTTCAAACTTTACCCAGGCTAAATAAAAAAACTGATTTTTCTATAGCAAGCACTGGCTTGCCCAGTGAACTTCTAAAGCATCACATCAGAAGTGACATTGGCAAGATGACCAAAGTAGAAATGACCAGTTGATGTTAAGAATAAAGACCTGGCTGTGCGCGCTTGGCAGCGGCAGGCAAGGCGCAGCGGAGAAGGGGGGTGAGCATCCTGGGTCCTTACGGTGCCTGGCGGCCGGCTTTGCCCGGGTGTGTAGCCAGGCTTTATGGCGAGAGGATTTGAGTAGGTCAAAATGAACAATCGTAAAACGAGAAGTAACAGCATAATACATGCAGAGTGTTTTTCACAGGTACAAAGAATTTTACGTGAAAGATTTTGTCATCAGAATCCACATAGCAACCTATTTGGAGTACAAGTACAGTATAAGCATTTAATTGAGCTACTCAAAAGAACTGCTATCTATGGAGAAAGTAACTCTGTACTTATTGTTGGACCACGAGGATCAGGAAAGACCATGTTATGAAATCATGCTTTGAAAGAACTCATGGAAATAAGAGAAGTGAGTGAAAATGTGTTACAAGTTCACCTAAATGGACTGCTGCAGATAAATGATAAAATTGCTCTGAAGGAGATCACAAGGCAATTAAATCTAGAAAATGTAGTTGGAGATAAAGTTTTTGGCAGCTTTGCCGAAAACCTTTCATTTCTTCTGGAAGCTTTAAAAAAAGGTGACCGGACCAGCAGTTGCCCAGTAATCTTCATACTGGATGAATTTGATCTTTTTGCTCATCAGAAAAACCAAACACTCCTTTATAATCTTTTTGACATTTCTCAATCTGCACAGACACCAGTAGCAGTTATTGGCCTTACATGTAGATTGGACATTTTGGAACTCTTGGAAAAAAAGAGTAAAGTCCCGGTTTTCTCCCTGGCAGATACATTTAATGAATTCATTGGTTTTCCACAATATGTGAAAATATTTAAAGAGCAACTATCTCTACCTGAAGAATTTCCAGATAAGGTTTTTGCTGAGAGCTGGAATGAGAATGTTCAGTCTCTCTCAGAAGACTCAACTGTGCGTAAAGTTCTACAGAAACATTTCAATGTCAACAAAAACTTGAGATCATTACATATGCTATTGATGCTTGCTTTAAATCGAGTAACTGTATCACACCCATTTATAACTTCAGCATATCTGATGGAGGCACAGCACTTGTGTAGCTTGGATTCTAAAGCAAGTATTGTACATGGTCTTTCAGTCTTGGAAATCTGTCTTATAATAGCAATGAAACATTTAAATGACATCTATGAAGAGGAACCCTTTAATTTTCAAATGGTCTATAATGAGTTTCAGAAATTTATTCAAAGAAAGGCCTATTCTGTTTATAACTTTGAGAAACCTGTGGTCATGAAGGCGTTTGAGCACTTACAACAATTGGAATTAGTAAAACCCATGGAAAGAACTTCAGTAAATTGTCAGAGAGAATACCAGCCAGTGAAACTACTATTGGATAATACTCAAATTATGAATGCTCTACAGAAATATTCCAACTACCCTACAGACGATAGGCAATGGGCAACATCCTCACTAAACTGGCTGTGAACATTTTAAGTACATTTCTATAACGACCTAAAAGTTACTGTCTTTAACAAGATATGTTACTACATTCCTTTCCTTATAAATATTGTTTATGGAAACTTGCACTTACTATATTGACTATGTGTTGAATTCTGACTACACATCTACACAATTTCATTGATTTAAATTGTACTACAGAATAGCAGTTCAAAAGAATAAAATGTGATTTAAAAAAAAAAAGAATAAAGACCTGGGCATGGTGATGCATGCCTTTAATCCTAGATCTGGGGAGACAGAGGTAGGAGGATCTATAACAGTTCTAAGCTAGCCTAGCCTACACAGTGAGTTCCAAGAAAGCCAAAGCCACACAGTGAAACCCTGTCTTAAAAAAGGAAAAAAAAAATCAAATAAATTAATGCTTCTTAAAACCTTCCAAATTCCCTAAGTATGAATTGTTATTTGGCATTAGGTTATTTCAAAAGGACATACTGTAAGACCAAAAAATAGTATATATTTATTAGATGTATGCTTTACACCTGGGAGGAGCCAAATGTTTATCCAGTGAACAGTTTCATTAAGAATGAACATGGAGAGGCCCTGCATCCCTCACATATCAACACACAGCTACTCTTCAGTGTACATGCTGCTTTTTGGTCTTTTTTTTTTTGAGACAGGGTTTCTCTGGGTGTCCTGAAACTCTCTCTGTAGGCAGAATTGCATTTCCAACGCAGAGATCTGCCTGCCTCTGCTTCTTGAGTTCTACGATTAAAGTTGTGTACCACCAGTTCACTGCTGTACATGCTTTTAAACTTAATCCAATTGTACATGTAAATAGCACTTCCTACAACATCAAGTCATGGGTAGCTCAAGACATGAAACACGATTCCTCCACTGCTCTATTTTTTTTCACGTGGGTGAACAACAAATATAGTATCAGTATTCTTTACAAGTCTGCCTTAATTTTTCCATGTGGTAAAAAAATATTTCAACCAAGAATTTTCCCCAAGAGATCTTTTACTATGATTTACATTATAAACCACCTGAAAGAAATGGTGGAAATCCATGTCTGCACCCAAATGCCTAAACTAAAATTTCCCACCCATTAAAATTTGTCAAGGATGAAAGGAAAAATGACTCATCAGTTGATAATACAGGCATCTCTGGCAGAATATTCAGATTCCATACCCAGAACCCACATAGTAGCTCACAACCATCTATAACTCCAGTTGCAGGGGATGACACCCAATCTTAAACTCTACAGGTGCTCCTCACACATGTAGTGCATATATGTATAAATCAAATACTCATCTACATAGAATGAAATAAATAAAGCTAAAATAACTTTTGAGTGGGCAGTGAAATGGCTAGTCTTTGACTTCTGCATAAACTCTACATACGTTTTTCAGAACTTCTTTTACAAAAACCAGAAGTCACGTGTCGCACTGGACAGGGTTCTGGGTAAACAAATCCAGACACACCTTCACATATGAGTCCTGTTGCAAAGAGACTTGGGGATCTGGAAAGGAGATACAGTTTTCCTAGGTTCCCAACATTTATAAACCAGTAGCATAACTAAACTATGAACTCTCAAAATTACTTGTATGCCTCACTTCTATGTGGAAACTAAAAAGTTCCATCATCCAAATGCAAAGGAAAATAGTGAGTGTACTGGAGACTGTAGCAGGGGTAGGACAATTGGTATCAAATTCCAGACACAATAGGAGGAATAATTTCTAGTGTGCTACTAAACAATAGGGTAACAATATATTGCTTATTTCAAATCATCTAGAGGAGTGTTTTTAGTATTTTTAACACACAGAGAATAAATATTTGAGATGAGAACTGGCAAGTTGGCTTAGTAAGAAGAAGCACGGTGGCAGAAGGTAATGGAGCCTTCTGAGTTGTCCTCTGAACTCAAAACACACATGGTTTACACACATGCACACTAAATAAATAAAAATGATAAAGTATATATGAGATGCTGAATACCTGGATTTGACTTTGCTACTGTTTACACATGTCTTAAAACATCAAATCGCAACTGAACGGAGAGAAACTTAAAGCAATCCCACTGAAATCAGGGACAAGACAAGGCTGCCCACTCTCTCCATATCTCTTCAACATAGTGCTGGAAGTCCTTGCTAGAGCAATAAGACAGTTGAAGGAGATCAAGGGGATACAGATGGGAAAGGAAGAAGTCAAATTATCACTATTTGCAGATGATATAATAGTATACATGAGTGTCCCCAAAAATTCTACTAGGGAACTCCTACAGCTGATAAACACCTTCAGCAAAGTGGCTGGATACAAAATTAACTCAAAAAAAAAATCAGTAGCACTCCTGTATACAAAAGACAAAATAGCTGAGAAAGAAATTAGAGAAATGACACCCTTCACAATAGTCACAAATGACATAAAGTACCTTGGTGTAACCCTAACCAAGCAAGTCAAAGACTTGTATGAAAAAAATTTCAAGACTCTGAAGAAAGAATTAGAAGAAGATATCAGAATATACAAAGATCTCCCATGCTCATGGCTGGGCAGGATTAACATAGTAAAAATGGCCATCTTACCAAAAGTAATCTACAGATTCAATGCAATTCCTATCAAATTACCAACACAATTCTTTACAGACCTGGAAAGAAAAATTCTCAACTTCATATGGAATAACAAGAAACCCAGAATTGCTAATAAAAATCTTCTACAATAAAAGATCTTCTGGAGGTATCTCCCTCCCTGATTGTAAGTTGTACTATAGAGCAACAGTAATAAAAACTGCATGGTACTGGCATAGAAACAAACTGGTGGATCAATGAAACAGAACAGAGGACCCAGACATAAACCCACATACTTATGGTCACCTTATCTTTGACAAAGATGCCAATACCATACAATGGAAAAAAGATAGCATCTTCAACAAATGGTTCTGGTCTAACTGGATGTCTACATGTAGAAAAATGAAAATAGATCCATACTTATCACCCTGCACAAATCTAAAGTCCAAGTGGATCAAAGACCTCAACATAAAACAAGACACACTAAACCACTTAGAAGAAAAATTGAAGAAGAGCCTTGAACTCATTGGCACAAGAGACAACTTCCTGAACAGAACACCAACAGCACAGGCTCTAAGAGCAACAATCAATAAATGGGACCTCATGAAACTGAAAAGCTTCTGTAAAGGACACCGTCATCAAAACAAAATGACTGCCTGTAGATTAGGAAAGAATCTTTTCTTTCTTTCTCTTTTTCTTTCTTTCTCACTAACCCTTTTTCTGACAGAAGGCTAACATGCAGTATATATAAAGAACTAAAACGACTGCCTACAGATTGGGAAAATCTTCACCAACCCTTCATCTGACAGAGGACTAATATCCAGTATATATAAAGAACTAAAGAAGCTGAAAAGCAGCAAACCATGTAATCCACTTAAAGAATGGGGAACAGAGCTAAACAGAGAACTCTTTGTAGAGGAATATCGAATGGCAGAGAAACACTTGAAGAAATGCTCAACGTCATTAGCCATTAGGGAAATGCAAATCAAAA